AAGGGGGGGCTCCTCCCCAACAAAAGGGGGGGCGGCTCTCGGCTCCTCCCCTCCCCCCCACCACAAGGGGGGGCTCCTCCCCAACAAAAGGGGGGGCGGCTCTCGGCCCCTCCCCTCCCCCCCGCCACAAGGGGGGCGGCTCTCGGCTCCTCCCCCCCACCACAAGGGGGGGTCCTCCTCAACAAAAGGGGGGGCGGCTGGCTCTTGGTTCCTCCCCTCCCCCCACCACAAGGGGGGACTCCTCCCCAACAAAAGGGGGGGCGGCTCTCAGCTCCTCCCCCCACCCCCGCCACAAGGGGGGGCTCTCGGCCCCCCAGGCCCAGCGCGGGAAGCAGGACCCCTCCCCCCAGGCCGAGCCCCACCCCCGAGCTGAGGGAGCCCCCGCCGGAGCCCCGGGCTCACCACGTAGACCACGTTGAGGGCGCAGAGCGCGTTGCGGGAGCAAGCGAACCCGCCGCCGCACACCATCTTCCCGGGCCGGGGCAGCCGGCCGCAGGCTCCGGGGACAGCGCAGGCCGGGCCGCTCCTGGCCCTTTAAATCCCAGCCCAGCGCCCAGCGCCGCACCGCGCCTGCGCGCCGGGCCCGCCCGCCTCGCCGCATTGCGCCTGCGCACGTACCCCCCCTCCGCCCGCCTCCTTTGGATGCGCCTGCGCAGCCCCATGCGTGAGTACGAGTACGTACGCCGCGCTCGCACACACGCACTGCGCCCGGGCGTAACCTCCTTTTGTGCGCCTGCGCAGCACTCTGGCGTTGCGCGCGTGCGGTTTTCTCAACCACAGCTCACACGCACGGCGCCTGCGTAGCATTCTCACCTCCCGCGCCAAGCTCTTTTCCCCCTCAGAGCGCCTGCGCCGGGTCACGCGGGTTGATGAGGCGCATGCGCGCACGTTCCAGGCCTGGCTTTAGCTTCGTCCCCCAAATACCCGGATGAGAGTGGCTCACGGCTGGACAAAGACCCGGATGGAGGGGACAACTTCCTCCTGGGGGCCCTGTTTTTTCGGGCCCCCGGCCATAGTGCTCCCTACCCCAGTGCCTTAAAGTCCTCCAGTGCCATGTTCTGGTGCCCCCCACCATGACTGTGCCCGGGGGTCCCCCCGTGCCCTGGTCCCCCCTCCCCCAGTGATATCCCCATTATTGGATCTGTAACCCCACCCCTAACACTGCCTGGTACCCCACCCTCCTGGCCTTGTGCCCAGCTGCTCCCTTCTCCCTGTTTGTGATGAGCATCCCCAGTATGACAGCTGGCCTTACGGTGACCAGATGTCCCGATTTTATAGGGACAGTCCCGATTTTGGGGGCTTTTTCTTATATAGGAACCTATTACCCCCCACCCCCATCCCGATTTTTCACACTTGCCGTCTGGTCACCCTAGCGGGCCTTGTGCCTGGCACCTGCCTGCCCCAGTGTGCTGCCCATAGGTGGCAAGCGGTTGCTGTTTACTTAGCTATAAATGAACCTTTCCCTTTCCAGAAGTCTTGGCAGCATTTCCTTTCCGGTGTTACAAGTGCAAAAGCAGAGGCTGGAGAAACTCCTGAATCTTTCATCTCGTGTTTTAACAGGCAAAGTCTCAAACAAGAAGTTGCGTCTATGATTTTGATCTCAGGTGTGCAATGCAGTGCACTCTTAGGGGAACACAAAAGGTGAAACTTTTTTTCCCCTCTTTTTTTTTTTGAGCTGTGTAGTCAGTTTTTGTTACAAGATTCGATTTCTTCAGGCTGAATTCTACCCTGAAACCAAAGTTTAATCAACAGTTATAACTTAGAGAATTTTTTCACTTCAAGGTCCCAGAAACAAAGGCAAGGTTTTCATCTCGAGGCCAAAAGACCAAAAACATCAAGACACTTGATCACGGCCTTGGATAGACCAAGAGACTACCGACACTTGACCAGAGTTGCTCTGCAAAAGTTTGATTCACTGAGGACAGGTCCATCAGTGGGGATTAGCCAAGATGGTCCAGGATGCAAACCCATGCTCTGGGTGTCCCTAAGCCCCTGCCTGCTAGGTGCTGGGACTGGACAACAGGAGATGGATCACTTGATAATTGCCGTGTTCTGTTCATTCCCTCTGAAGCACCTGGCATTGGCCACTGTTGGAAGACAGGATACTGGGCTAGATGGACCATTGGTCTGACTCAGTGTGGCCTTCTTATGTTCTACCCTTCCCTTACTCATGTGACAAATCAGTGAAATAAAGGAGTCAAGGGACACCCTTTAAAATAAGGGATGGGGAGTCAACCTAAGGAACAAATGAATGAAATAAGGAACTGTCCCTTGAAATAAGGGACAGGTGGTCACCCTATGTGCTGCCCTCCACCCTGGGCACTGAGGGTGCCAGTCAAAATAATACAAAATAATAACAAACAGCTGAGGGGTTTCCTGTTGAGGTGTGGAGCAAATGTGGCCAATGGAGCTGCCCTGAGGGACCAGTGTGCTAACAAAACGAAATCCTGCCCTCACAAAGTTCTTCTCTGGAGAGAAGTATCAGAGGGGGAGCCGTGTTAGTCTGAATCTGTAAAAAGCAACAGAGGGTCCTGTGGCACCTTTAAGACTAACAGAAGTATTGGAGCATAAGCTTTCTGGAGAGAGAAAGCATCCATTTGTTCCAAGGCCTTTGTGATTCCTTATTTTTCTGAAGGGCTTAGGCAGCAGGGTCAGAGGTGTTACAAACAGCACCTGGATAGATGGAGAGAGGAAATCAATGCAAAGCCTGAAGTAGCAGTGAGGGAAGGGAGTTCAGAGGGAGAGCCTTGAAATGCAATGGTCACAGGTCTAAATGCAAATTCCACCTCTGACAATTCCCAGGTAAAGATGTCTTCCCATCGCCTCCCTCATCCCCACTGGCTTTGGAGAAAACAAGAAGGGACCACAAACCTGAATACAAATCGGCAAGAATGGAGTTTCCTTATGGCACAATTAGTTGCTATTGAGAGACCCCGGTGAGGAGCCCTTGAGTGACTTTATCTATCTATCTATCTATCTATCTATCTATCTATCTATCTATCACAATATTGCCAACCCTAAATGTTCAAGAATTGTGAATCCGGCACCAAAATAATTAATTCTTTTTACTTGCCTTCTGGTTTTTAAGCCTTTTGGGGGTTCACTGAGGTCACATTTTTGAGCTTTTCTTCACAGTCATGAAGGGCAGAAACTTATTTTTTTTTAAAAATGGAAGCTGAGAGTCTCGTGTGTTGGGATTCCCTCCAAGACCTGTTCCATTCAGCTTATCCCGAACAGCTTGTCCAGTTCTGGGAGGACACTTCATCCAGTTCTCTGGAACCCAAAACAATCAGTCCGACTCTGTATTTCGTCACTCGGGTCCTTTATTTGGCATACAACAAAGCTATGCTGAATGATCGGACTTAACCATAGAGGGAGGTGGGTATAAGGCGTACCACACATCCAAAGTTACACAGACAACCTCTTCCTTTATATACATTTACACATTACATAGCAATTGTTATATATTACACCACACTATTTTTTTTATTGGATTGGTCACTTTGCAGGAGCCAATCCCTGTACAGCATGGATATTAGGAAAAACTTTTTCACTAGGAGGGTGGTGAAGCACTGGAATGGGTTACCTAGGGAGGTGGTGGAATCTCCTTCCTTAGAGGTTTTTAAGGTCAGGCTTGACAAAGCCCTGGCTGGGATGATTTAGTTAGGGTTGGTCCTGCTTTGAGCAGGGGGTTGGACTAGATGACCTCCTGAGGTCCCTTCCAACCCTGATAGTCTATTCTATGATTCTATGCTCTGTCCATGTGCTGTTCACATGGAACCTGATCTTTACCTTCCAGGTTTATCTTGTCCACAGTTCCTAGCAGCAAGGTGTTGCTGCTTATCTTAAATAGCACAGACATCCTGACTCCAGCATACTGTTTGTCAAGCCCCTATTTACAACTTAACCTTCCATTCACCTTCCCAATTATGCCCTCTAAGAAATGAGGCAAATTTCTTATGACAAGCCCGGACTACATCATGCCATCGCCTGACTCCAGGAGCTGGGGCTGTAAGTAAAAAAATCAGTTATTGGGAGACTCACAATAAAGCCACGAGAGATGGCAACGTTGTCAACATGGGAATCTGACACTGGATCTGTGAATGGGGGTACTGGTTCCCTGGGAACCCCACAAAGAGTTATTCTGTGACTGGTGCAACAGGAGAATGATCAAAATACAGAGAAGCACGGGTAACAAATAGTGAAAGAGATGCCATTACTGAGCAGTTGGGAGGGGAACGGGGTAGAACTGCAGTATGTGTGAGCCCTGAACCTCTGCATGGGAAAAGGTCAGTCATGAGAAATGGGCACGCAGTGTTAAACCCTGTTCTCCCCGTGAAAGCTACTCTACACACAGGTACAGGTGGTCAGGCCAATCAGGTGCTGGGCAATGAAAATGAAGTGTGAGAGAGAGAAAGTTGCTGTATTCGTCTGGGCTCCCCATGACCTCTCTGTCAGACATCCTGTGCGGTGCCACTCTCCCATGTGGAGCACAAAGAGGCCTCTGGTGCTTCAGAAGGGAGGATTTTTTGGTGTGATCGACGCTTTCCCCTTGCTAATCGTCCTTGTGATGGAAGAGCCAGAAGAGTGATTAAACAGCCTCCTGACCGCACTGTTGCAATCCCTGCTCCAGCCTTCTAGCAACAACAAGAGACTGGCAGGTGTCCAGACAGACGAGGAGCTTTTTCAGTGTGCATGGATCACAGGGGCCTTGGCAGTCCACAATCCTGTTAAACTGGACTCTCCAGTGTAGACTTGCTAGCACATAGCACATGCAAATTCTCCTTACCGACTCTGTGCCATAGTGTCACGTGCTAGGATCTTCCTATTGAAAAAGAGCATATGTCCTCCGGAAACCGGGACCAGTTGGATCCTAAGGCTGGCTGCTTGCTGGGGGTTACCGGAACTGTTCTCTGCCTCTCCCTCTCCACCCCGGGAATGCCTGTGCCAAACAGCTAGTAGACATGGTGTTAAGGCACCATATGTTACCCTTGGGGCTGGAAGCTTAAGGAAATCACCAAAGCAAATGGCCTGTTTCTTAATATAAATGTGCAGGAACTCTAGCTGTTTCAACCGCCCCGGGCCCTGTGCTTTGGGGGGGCCCTGTGCTTCAGGGGGACGTGGAGTCCAGGGCGGCCTGGGGGATTAGCGGGGGGCCTGGCGCCGGCAGCAGCCCGCCACACCCCCCTGGCTCCCGGCATTGCTCGGGGGGAGGGGGCGGAAGCCGGAAAGAGGTGGGGTGGAGGCTTGGGGGAAGAGGTGGAATGGGGGCAGGGAGGGGGCAGAGCAGGGGCGGGCTGGGGCTAGGTCGCTCGCTGCTGCCGGCGCCAGGCCCCCCACTAACCCTCCAGGCCGCCCTGGACCCCGCGTCCCCTTGAAGCGCGGGGCCCCCCAAAGCGTGGGGCCTGGGGCAGTTGCCCCAGTCCGTCCTATGGATGGGATGGCTCTGAAAATATAAGCCCAAATATTGGTGGAGCCGGGCCCACGTTCCTCAATATTGGTGGAGCTCGGCCACCACGGGCCCATATAACTTGCTGCCTATGGCCCTGAAGGGGAGATAAGGGGAGACCAAGGT